GTCCTCATTTCGGTGGCATTTGGGAGGCAGCAATTAAAAGCGCCAAATACCACATCGTCAGGCTGGTTGGGGAAACCCGCTTCACGTTTGAAGAGTTCTATACAATTTTAGTGCAAATTGAAGCCATATTGAACTCACGTCCCCTATGCGTTCTTTCAAACGACCCAAACGACTATCAAACTCTAACCCCTGGTCACTTCTTAATTGGTTCAAGCCTTACGGCTCACCCAGATAAGGATTTAAGTCATCTTAATGAGAACCGCCTTTCTATGTGGCAGAAAATTTCACACATCCAACAAGTGTTTTGGAAGCGTTGGTCAGTGGACTATTTGAACAGACTCCAAAATCGACCTAAATGGTTCCGGAATTCTCTAGATCTAACCCCCAATACATTAGTACTTTTAAAGGAAGATGACACTCCACCTCTAAGATGGCCTTTAGCCAGAGTCTTAGAGGTATTCCCTGGACGAGACAATAAAACCAGAGTGGTAAAATTGAAAACACAAAGTGGTGTTTTTACTCGAGGAATAGCAAAGGTATGTCCTTTACCAATTCAGGATTAAAACCTGCTACTTTCTCTATTGTAAATATGTTGTTTATTTTTTTTGTTAATGTTTCGTCTCTCATTGAAGTTTGGAAACTTCAAGGGGGGGAATATGTTGCGGAAATAACCCACAACAAGTTTAAAATGTTATTATTTGTAGTTTATCAATATAATCAATTTCTATTATTTATCATAAAAATAATATTCTAAAAAAAGGATACCTGTAAAACTGGCAACAGCAGCCCTTTTGAATCGGTAAAATTACAGATTTCTTCATTACCCTATGAGCAATGGATCTATTTTGTTGTTGTGATTGGTCAGTTGCCACCCAACATCCCTGATTTATGCGACCTGCTCCGAAAAAGGCAGTCGACTCGACGCACGGTACACAACAGTAGTAATCAAGAAGCAGAAGAGTAAGCAAAGACTCTGCACCCTCTCGCCTCTGAACGCTCTACAGAGGAAAAAACCCCCAGAAAACCCCCGTTAGTACGCGAATTATAGTAAAATACTACTCCCAGTGTCTCAAGGCCTGACATGGCCTATATTATCAACGATATTATTGATTACAATTCATGTAATTAACCCCTAAATTGTTGCAAGTCATCTCGGACCTAGCAAAATTCTCTACTACGCCTGTTTAAGGTTATTCCTGTCTCACTCTCGACGGGCTTCAACTCTGTATATCATTGTGTTCTCTCTCTTAGTGGAAAATCCCTTAGCTGACAGTGCAAATTACTACGAATAGTGATAAATGGATAAATAATCACTATATGGATTTACCGGTATGAACTGGATTAAGCAAGTAAGACCGTTTCAATTTCTCAAAACAGTCGAACAATAAATTAATAAATACTGAATACCGATTCGGTTGAAATGCACTATAAATTGAAGTGTTTGTTCTAACCTTTAATACAGAAATTTGGTTTTCACACTCGTGAAATGAACATTAATTTGTAAATTTGTATATAGAAACTGAGCATATATATATAGACTTTTCTTGCACTTATTGTTTACACACTTCAGCAGAAAAGTGCTCAAATTATTAACTCTCAATAAACAAAAGAACCTTCAAGGATTATAAACATTTTGTGAATACAGTGAGCTGATTGAAGTTCACGAATTATTTGTGTTGTGCTCTCGTAAATTTAAATTAGTTAATTTGTGTTCTCGTTCTTTGAACATTCAACCATAAATGATATTATTATTATGAAATTTCAATATTTTTATAAATCAAGATACTTATTTACTCGCTTATTTACTTTAGATTAGTATAAAATTTGTAGTTCGACTGGACGTCCAAATAGGAATTATTAGATAGGATTTGATTGCTGATTAAACCGAATTAACTTCATTTATTAATTAAATTGATAACTATTCTATTTCAGCGTTTTATTTGTATAAATGAGAATCAAGGCACCCCTAGTTCAATACAAGGCTTAAATGATCCAACACCTAATGGTTAATTTTTACAGTCAGTCAAAGTAAAAACTTTTGACATCCCTGGTGCGGTAATGACTAGAGTCCACAAAAGGGTAATAGCTAGTTCCGTCACATACGGGGTGTTTCATTTAAAATAGCGATGTTGCCACTGGTTTAGAGTAGAAGCGGCAACACCGCATAAACAAAAATATTTTTAAAGTGTAGATCATGGCCATTTATCCCGGTTGCCAAATTTTCAAAATGATCCGCTTTTTAGTTCTCCATAAACGTCTAATTCTAATACGCCATCCACCGTGGGACACCCTGTATACATGGTGTTCCATTTAAAATAATATAACTTTACACTGCTTCACTTTTTTGAAGCACCCTGTATGTTTGAAACTGACTTAGTTAAAAACCTTTGACAATTTCCGGAATATTTTGTATTTGACACTTTTGTCAAAAACGTCAAATGAAAAAGTTAGGAAGAAGTGACATTTATAATAGATCACCCTGTACATTGTGCCAATTCCAATGGCCGCAGGTGTAGGTACCTACTAATCTCATTACATACCTATCTTTTATAATGTGTAATGTAATGTGTATGTGTGTAATGTACCTAAAAGTAGGTACTTTTTATGACGAATACAACACAGCTTTGGCATGGAAGCAATTTCAAAATTTGATATAAGATATCTAGATTTAGAATTTTGATACACATGCTATATAGACCGGTGCATAACGACTATTTTTTTAAAACGATTTTTTTCCGTCTGCCATTAAGGATGGTTATTCTTTATGCAATAAGAAGTGGAATGGCTGAAATTTCAAAGAGCCCCGCGTGTGATAATACAATGATATGCTAATTTAAAAATGTAATGAAAAGTGGATATTCGGATCAAGATTATCCTGTCTGCCACACATTGTGAAGGTAATTTGAACAAGAATGTAGTAGTAGTAGAAAGAAGCTAAAAGGCGGAAACCCTAGGTTAGTATATAGTGTCATATTACTAATTTCAAAATGTTGCCAAAATCGGACATGTGGATCAACGACCTCCCGTCTGCCAAATTAAATTTATGTTGCATTAACGATTTAGAGATCAATAAGGAAATGGCAGAAAATCTCGGTTGTTATAATAATATTTAACAATTTATGAAGTCGTATCAAAATGCTAAGATGTTGAAACAATCTTTGGAAGATAAGTTTGACATGCAAAGTAAAATCCAAGAAATGTATTGGCAGATGTATCTAAGGTATATTAACAATTGGCAGAAACAATAAAAATGTCAACATTTTTCAAGGTTGAGATCGATCAATTTTTTCCCGTCTGCCAGTAATTTATATTAAATTAGCTACTAGTAAAAGCTTAAATTTCGATTAACAGAAATTGCAGGCTGATACAAGTTCTTATAATTGATTAACAAAATTGGAACAAAAATTGTTCATATCATGAACGTTTTCAACCCGTCTGCTGTTTGTTTTAGTGAAATTTAGTTATGAGAATATGCATATTCTCAATATGGCAGAAACCGCAATGAGCTACATACATTGCACAATTATTGTTAAATTGCGAAAAATGTTTATGTGGCCAAACAATTTTCTTTCGTCTGACAACCGGTTAATTGAAATTAAAGTTGCTCTCAAGATACCTAAATATGATAAGGCAGAACAATGAAAAATTGTATCTTTAGGAAAAAAATGTTTTAATCATCAACATTATCAAAAACAGCATCGTCATAATTATCATCAGCATCATCATTATCGTTTTCATTGTCATCTATCACTTCGGAGTCACTTCCATCACAACTGATGGCACCTTTTCCATTATCATCATCATTATTGCCGTCATCCAAATCTGATAAATCGCCAAAATCTTCGTTTTCATTAATTTCTTCTTCACTTTCATCCTCATCAGGAAAACCTATATGTGTAATAGGCATTGAAAAAAAATTATCACTTGTATGTGAGATTTCAAACATTTGTACATAAGCAGTCATTTTGCCTTTTGATAAGTATTCAGTTGTTTTGATAGTAACTATTCAATTAAGTTAGCAGACGGGAGAAAATCGCAATTTAACAACCATATGCAACTTGTAACTTATTGCGGTTTCTGCCATATTGAAAATATTCATATTCTCATAACTACATTTCACTTAACCAAATGGCAGACGGGTTAAAAACGTTCATCATATAAACAATTTTTGTCACAATTTTGTTCATTGTTTATTAGGACTTGTACCAGTCTGCAATTTTTGCCAGTCAAAACTTAAGCTTTTGGTAGCAACTTATTTAATATAAATTAATGGCAGACGGGAAATAATTGATCTCAAATTTGAAAAATTTTGACATTTTGAAAAATTAAAAATAAATATCTGTACCACTTCAATTTTTCTGCCGGTGCAAAGGTACATTATTTATCTAAAATCCACTGTAACAAAACATGTTTTAGGCGGGAGAAAATTGTTTCCACATCTCAGCATTTTGATACAACTTCAAAAATTGTTAAATATTAATATACCAACCGAGATTTTCTGCCATTTACTTATTGATGTATTACATCGTAAATGAATCTTAAATTTAATTTGGCATACGGGAGGTAGTTGATCCACATGTCCGATTTTGGCGACATTTTAAAATTACTAATATGACACTTTATACTAACTTAGGGTTTCCGCCGTTCAGCTTCCTTCTACTCATTTTTGTTTAAATTACCTTCACAATGTGTGGCAGACGGGATATTATTGATCCAAATCGCCACTTTTCATTACATTTTCAAATTAGCATATCATTGTATTGTCACACGCGGGGCTCTTTGAAATTTCAGCCTTTCCACTTCTTATTGCATAAAGAATAACCACCCTTAATGGCAGACGGGAGAAAATCGTTTTAAAAAAATGGTCGTTATGCACCGGTCTAATATAGGACTAAATTATAAATAGCTTATAACACAAATTTTGAATTAATAATATTAGTTTCTGTTCTATTGCAGATAATTATACAAATAACATTAACTGAGGAAACAAATAGACTTACATTTAACAATAAGTTTCACTGGATTGCTGGATCCTCTTCCTTCAGAGTTGGCAGCTATACAAGTGTATTCACCAGCCGTAGATCGTATCACATTTTGTAGAACCAAGCTTTGGTCACTGAGAATTATTCCTCCTGTAACGTTCTGGAATATTTCCGCATTCTGTAAAAAAAAGAGAGTGAGTTGAAGCTAACAGGGCGATACAAAAATAACGGCACATATATAGATATTTCAAGTTTATCAGCCAGATCAATTCTGGGCGGCTCACCATCACTCCAAAATTGGACAAACCACCAAGCAGCAGCTTCCCAATAAATATGGAATATTTCTGGGAAAAATAGACGTGCGACATCTTCAATATTCTTCAACAAGCTGGTGTAAAAATATTGAAATGCAAATATCTTGATGTTAATAAATATTGCCATCCACAAGCGATTTCTACCCTTCGGAAAAAAAAAACTTTTAAAATAGACCTCCCTCATAAAGATTGATTACCTTCCTTTCCCCTCTTGTGTACTTTATTAAATTTCCCAGAGAGGAAAAGCAGACAATTTTGGAATAATGCCCGCATTTATTATACAAAACCAAATTTAATTTTATTCAAAAAGCCGACGAGGCACGAGAATACGACGACGACGGCTGTGATGCTGATGGCGGACGCACCCAACCAACCCAACGTAAAAGTTTCAAGGGAGAATAATATTTAAATTTTGAGGTGCTACCCCTAAATACTTACATTGTGGAACCAAGAAAGTTTGTACGCTTTGGGATTAGCCCTAATGTTGCATTCAAAGTAAACATCGTCGCCTTCCTTTATGTCTTCGGGGTTCAGGGTTGAGCCCATTTTTAATGTGACAACGGGAACATCTGAAAAATAATGTTTTAATTTTAAAAATAAAAACAGCTTGAGCTTATGAGATTTTGTAGTGACTGATTCGTTAAAATTCTTTTCAGCAATTTTTTACATCAAATTTGTTTTTTTTTTATCCGTGAAAGTATCTACATGAGGCATTTGTTAGCTGAGAGCATTCGTATATACTACTTGGTCCTCAAGCCTGAAGTCGAAAAGTCAAAACACAAAATATCCGAGAAAATATCGTTAAGATGATTAATGGATATCAATCACATTCTTGAAGGAACTCTGATACTAATCTAATATCTCAATCAAATCCATATAACAAGCATATATGAAAATATAGATAACTTCTTGGTCTATTTTGAAGCATATAGGAAACATTTTGATTTAATAGTTTATGATTTTAAAATACCAGGTTACGAACTCCTTTCTAGTGAAAGTTGCAACAATAGATGTGATGGGTTATTTGGATAATAGAAAGTTTCAGGTTTTTGGGACCTATATTCACCAATTCTATAGAACTATCTAAATTATCTTCCAGTCCACATGGCTTTTTTTGTAAAGTTAGAGGGGTAACAAGATAAGCTGTTTGTCTCATTGTTTTATTAAAAGTCAAAATAATAATGTACACCAAATATCTACTGCAGTGATAGGAGCAAAAATATCTGACGCACATGATCACTATCGAGTAATTATTCAATTCAAAATTAAAAATAAAATTAGCCGACAGTCTGACAATAATATCCTACGCCAAATGTATAGAAAAGCTAAACTATGAAAAACTGAAAATGCTGCTTGAGCAAGAGCAGTGAGATGAATTTTTTGACAAAATGGATGTAGACCAGTGTGCCAGAGTTTTTGGGAAAATTTACAACCAAAAATAAAGCTCTCATAAGAACAACAACATATCACAAAAAAAAAATCGTATCAAACTTTGGATATCGACTGGACTGCTGGTGTCCATAAGAAAAAGAGATAAACTGAAAAAAAATTATGTATATATATGTATGTCCCTACTAATCACTACGTAATAACTACTTGAGGCATAGAGGTGCTCTCCAAATTAATAAAAACTCTCAAAATAAATTATAACAGGCAAATTCGCAAAATACTTGGAAGACTATCAAAAACATAAATGGACAGTCTACAACTAGGCAGCGTCAGAAGCTTTGGAGAAATCTATGTACTTGTAAATTCGAACCAATCACAAGAAATGAAATGATTTTACTAATAAATACGCCTAAATCCACAGTATCTAGCAATGATGGCATTACCCCTAAAATTCTAAAAATGTTTCATCAATATCTACTGCAACCACTGTAAGTGCGCGTTCACATTGACACCGCTCGAGCGGTGAGCGTTGCGCGATGCCGCTGTAGTGATGCCCAAAAATAATTTTAACATTATATTTCAAATGAACAAGTTCACAGTGAGGCGGCGTGTCGCGCGGTCACAGATCACCTAATACAGATGCGTAAGTACGTATACTTGCTGTCGACGAAATTCTGTGACGAAGCCGGGCCGCCAGCGGCCCCACGCATAGATAAAGATCGCCCGCGTCAGGACAATTAACGTGACCGAGTGCGTGAGCATGTTCCAGCCTGTGTGTTTACATATTTTTGCGGGTAGAAAAAAATATTTTTTTGCTATTTGTGAACCAATTAAAGAAATAATATTATATTATTGAGCTTCCGCATTTATATAATAAATATGTTCAAAATACATTGATGTGGCATTGGTGCGGCCAGCCTATGTCTATCAAATTAATCTTGAACCACGAATTCGCCGCTCTTTCGCATCTGTATGTAAGTAATCTGTGGCGCGGTGTTAACATGTTCATTTGAAATATAATGTTAAAATTATTTTTGGGCATCACTACAACGGCATCGCGCAACGCTAGTGAAAAGAATCTTATAACTAACTACAGACCTATATCCTTAACAAGCACCATATCAGAATTAATTGAAAAAGGTATAAAATTAAGGCTTTCCTCAAAAACATAAAATAATTTCTCTTCAACAGTATGGGTTTCCGAATGGTGTTGGGAAGGACAACGCACTGGGTCAGGTAACAAAACAAATTTTGAATTATTTAGATAAGAACCTAAAAATGATAGGAATATTTTTGGACTTGAGTCTGTGTCATACCAGATAATGTTGGAACGAGTTGATAATGTTGGTATAAGAGGAAAATATTCACAGTTATTTGAAGCTCTTCTTTGTGAAAGGCCTCAGAAGGTGATAATACCAAATAATAGAGAATGAGCTAAGTGATGCATTTACAGCGGAGTTTGGTGTGCCATAGGAAACGGTCCTTAGTCCGGTCCTATTTATTATCTATATGAATGAAATAACTAAAATAACAAAACATGCGAAAGTTATCTGCATTGCTGATGACACGGTGTTGTTAACCAGTTCTGCCTCCTAGAATGTAACGTATACAAAGGCTAAAAAAGCTATTAATGATGTTGAGCACAAAGACCTACTAAAAGCAGAAGTAACCGACTACCCCAACGCAATAGAAACAGAGGGTGAGTTAGAGTATATCACGAACGAAATAAACACTCTAATAATATCAGCCTATGAGAACATCTGTCCTGTGAACGAAGGGTCGTAGATAGAAAAACGCTCTGGTAGAACAGGACGCTTAGTTCCCTAAGAGCTGAAACAAGAAAGTTATTCAATAGGGCGAAACGCACCAAGAACTGAGGCGAATACAGAACTGCTCTAACTGAATAAAACAAGGAATTGAGAAGGTCTAAAAGGAAATCCTGGGGGAATTTCTGTGAGGAGGTTACCGACATCCCTCAGACAATGCGACTCCAGAAAGTCCTTGCAAAAGACCACTCAAACGGCATTGGACTACTGCAAAAACCTGATGGCAGTTACACAGCAAGTAGATTAGAGAGTGTGAGACTGCTCCTACAATCGCACTTCCCAGACTCTGTAGAGTGTGAGCTAAACGGCAATAGAGCTTCGGTGGCTAAGGGCGTCTCACGCCCAAGCAACCGAACAAAAAGTCTGGTCAGAAAAACATTCACCTCAAACAAAATAAGTTGGGCTATAAACAATTTTCAGCCCTACAAATCACCACGAGAAGACATAATTTTTCCAGCTCTCCTACAACAAGGCTTAGAAGAACTTATAGCTCCACTAGCAATAATATTTAGAGCTAGCTATCTACTAGGTTACATTCCCACCTGGCGGGAAGTGAATGTGGTCTTTATTCCAAAGACTGGAAAACGTCCCACAGCACAGCCTAAATCGTTTAGACCCATCAGCCTAACCTCGTTTCTCCTCAAAACCATGGAGAAAATCATTTATTTACACATAAGAAGCGAATTCGTAACCGATAAATCGCTCCACAAAAACCAATATGCCTATCAAGCAGGCAAATCAACGGAGACAGCACTACAAAGCCTTGTCAATAGGATTGAAAAGGCACACTCCAACCAAGAAACCGCTCTCTGTGCATTCATTGACATAGAGAGTGCATTTGATAACACTTCTTATGAGTCCATAAGAAAGGCGGCAAAAAACAAAGGCTTTGAGGACACTACAATCACATGGATTGAAACCATGTTACAGGATAGGAAAATCAAAGCAACTCTTGGAAGCGACTCAGCGACGGTCCTAGCAGTCAAGGGGTGCCCCCAAGGAGGTGTATTATCCCCACTGCTATGGTCCATAGTAATAGATGAACTTCTAAACATACTGAGTGACCATGGATGTGTGGTCCTAGGATATGCTGATGACCTTGCAGTCATCATAAGAGGCAAGCATGATATGATGATTAGTGAACTCATGCAGAATTCCTTCAACATCATCAAAAGCTGGTGCTTATAAGAGGGTCTAAGGGTGAATCGCAGCAAGACAATAATTGTACCATTCACAAGGAAAAGGAAGCTCAACTTAATAGCTCCAACAATGGATGGAATACAAATAGGCCTTTCAAGTGAAGTCCAATATCTGGGCGTTGTCCTAGATCAAAAGCTCACCTGGAACTCACATTTAAAAAGAATAATCGATCGAGCAACAGTAGCGTACTGGAAATGTCGAAGACCAAAAGTGAAGCAGCAGACAGGGCAAAACCGATTGGCAGTTGTACAAAGGTATGCATGTCTTGGAATAACAGGTGCCATCAATACCTGTCCAACCGCTGCTACAGAGGTCATATTAGATATCATCCCTCTGCACATTGCAGTGAAGAGGGAGGCCTACATGGGGGCCTCAAGGGTTATACGGTCTATAAAAAAAAGGAAGGGGACCTTGTTGGACATATGAGCATCATTAAAGATTAAAGAACTCCATGGTACACCAACAAACCGGTGGACATCATGCCACCCAGATACGAATTTAATCACCTTCCTAGGTGACCGCAGAAGGCCGCAAAAGTGACAAGATCGTACATAAATTCCCAAACGGTTCATTCATCTGGTACACAGATGGATCGAAAACAGAAGAAGGGGTCGGAGTGGGCGTATATGGCCCAAACTGCAGGCTATGGGTAGCCTCAGGAAAAAACCCCACGATATTCCAAGCGGAAACGTACGCAATAGAACTCTGCGCCAGAAAGTATTGAAATAGACCTACGAGGTGCAAGAATCTTCATCAATTCTGACAGTCAGGCAGCACTTAAGGCTCTTAACAGCTTTGTCACTAAATCCAGACTAGGCTGGGACTGTCAGCAACTTCTAAAGCAACTAGCGACCTGCAATAGAGTCACTCTAGCATGGGTACCAGGGCACCAAAACATAGAAAGAAATGAAATAGGCAAAAGAAGGCGCCACGTCACCATTTCCCGGTCCAGAACCCTTCTTTGGCCTGACAAAAAGCCATGTAAGGACCGAACTCAAAAAATGGGTAGAGGCACAACAGGCCTCCCATTGGAACAATACTCTAGGACTTAGACAGGCGAAGCAATTCATCTCGCCAAAATCAACAAAGGCAAAGGAACTACTTGATTTCAGCAAACCAGACTTGAGGCTCATAACGGGTCTCCTCACCGGCCA